TCAAGGGAGAACTACATGGTGACCATCAACAAAAACAGCTTTTCAAGTACGTGAGTAACTGAGTAACTCCTGAATCCAGTGAACCAAGTCACAAGGTATAGGGGAAATTGGTCCCTTCCATTAAAACATGTTGTCTACTAGATTAGGATATAATGACCGAGCACAGAAATGAGACTGTCTTTATTGATACCCAAGACTCATGAAATGGTGAAATAAACTGGGGCTCGGGATGGAAGTACAGTTTTTGTAACAGGAACATGAAGCACGTAAGTGCAGAGCCCTCCTTCCCTCTCGTGTTTTGATTGCAGCAGCAATGGGAGTGTACAGTGGGAAAGAGATGGACAGAGGTAGCTAAGGAGTGTAAGGCTGCTGCACCCTTTCAGCACTGATGTGTGCCTTCTGAATACCTCAAACATACAACAATCCTTTGAAATCTGGCACTCTAGTTGAGTGGCAACTACATTACTATGAATATGGTCCACTTGTATCAATTGCAAGTGAATAAACAATTGAGCCAGATCCTTCAAACATGTTTTCAGTCCCTGTAGTATATCAGTAAAATTCCAGGTATGTAAGAATAGGGAAAACATGCTCTGCAGTAATGGACATTGCTACAGTCTGTTAATAATGCAAACAAACAATCCTCTGATAGCCAGAGATGCAGTAATTCTATTGGCCTTGAAAATATCTTTTGGAAGAAAAAAAAAACCCAAACAAAAACCCCAGACTAAATGTGTTTCAGTCTTTAGTGCCTACATAAAGGCATCTAGGCACTTAGAGATTCAGTGGAATTTTTCACATTAGTAGCTGGCTCTGAATCAAATCAATGAGATTTAAGCAGTTCCATCCTTCAAAGTAAGGGTCCCTGTCTTGGGTTTTTTAAGCAATTAAATACATTTATGGGCCCGATCTTTCATATTTTTAATATTATTTCATGCAGAGGAATTTGGACGCTGACATTTCTAGTCCATGAGATGTTCCAATGCTTCCATAAAAAATTCAGAACAAAATATCTATATTTTTATATGTCCCACAGCATGAATTTTTAGAGTAACTTCTACACATACCTATCAAGTAGTTTCCTACTGCTAAATTCAAGTTCTTTGGAGTTCTACTTTATATTAAAATTTTAACATATGTAATGGAGTAAAACCCAAGTACTTTAAAAAACAATTTTAAAAAGAATATAAAGCATAATTAAACAATGTATTTCTGCACTGTTAGAACTGCATTTTTCAATGCAAATTTACCCTGTTTATGGAAGTATAGCTAAATGTACAGGTAAGTCACATTTATTTCTGATAAAATACTGCCTTAAAGGTCCTTGCTGAAGTACAGATGGAGAAAAACAATAGTTTGAGACAGCTTGCTCTTTTTCTATCATTCTGCAGTAAGAGTTAAAATCAATGGAAAGGATAGCAAGCATCAGTAGGAAAGGCTGGAAAATTTAGTCAATGTGTTTGTTTCTTCACTTTAGTAAAAAACCAAAGACTCGTTACTTTTTCAATATTTTTATTTTTGCTTTTGTAAAGACTTTGACAAATTGAACTCTTCACACCCATATTGGAAATTGTCAGCAGCCCACAGCAAGGGTAGCATAGCTGTCCATGTTATTACCTGTTTTATGCAGTGTGCTTCAAGAATATTGAACAATATGTAGAATTTTTACATTTTCTAAATCTGATGGGGATTATTTGAACCTCCTAGGAAAACTGTGCATAAAAAGGCAATGTTTTGCTCCAAGCAACGTGAACCAAGAAAGAACATACAAATATAAATACAGCCTGAGACCAATAAAGCTGTAGCTGCAAATCCACCATGGCAGCAAATGGTTTCCCTTTAATAATGAAATACCACACTGCCAAAAACAGATATATAACTCAAGCTATCCCAACCCTACAAAATAGTGGTGTTTTAAAACAGAGAGTCCTTTCATTCTCTGGTGTGCTCTTTTCTTCTGCAACTAGGAGAGCTAAATTCGTACTTGAAAAAAATATGAAAACTCAGACTGCCACACAGTCACTTGTTCAGGGGCTTGAAGTGAAACTCCAGATATTCCAACACTGCTAGCAATACCATAGCTGGCAGCAGTACCGATGACCAAATTTCTCTTTATAAAACAAAGCACACGTTGGCACTGAAGCTGAGTTTCTTGGTTTGAGGAAAGAAAGAAAAACATTTATTCAATAAGGGAAAACTTATTTGCCAGTAGGGAGGAAAAGAGAAGGTTTCTGTTCAGTGAGCAGATAGAGAAATAATCTTTTGCTGCAAAGACCTCTGCAAGTTTAAATGATTTCTTTGTAAAGCAAAAAACCTGTTTTCATTGACAAGAGTTCTGAAAATGTCTTCTATAGCTCAGCTAATCCAAGTCAGAAGCTACAACTACAACTCAGCTTTAGCCAGAGCTTTTCTTTTAGTGAGTTATTTGAGCTGTTCCTCTGCTATTCCTATTATTTCTTACCGTGCATGCTGCTGCTGCTATCCAAGTTTGATCCAGCCAAAGTTAGTTTCCTTTGGAGCTAATGTTATTGAGTATCTCAGAGGGATGTACTTCTTCTAATGCTTCAGGGAGGCAGTAAACTGCCTTAGAACTCTCTGTCCCTTTCTCTTTCTTTCCCTCTCAACCCCTTGCATGAGGTTGGGGAGCCTTTTCCACACTTGTACCTACAATATGGGTAGCTGCTGCAGGGCTGCAACGCTCTGTGCCCTTTCTGCCTTCAATGAGTTGCAGGTAACCACCACAGTCACCATCTTCAGCAGCTGCAACAGTAGGCTGAGGACTCCTTGGGATGCTGCTACTCAGATGAGCGGCACTGAACCAAGTCAGTACTCTCTTAAGCATTCAGATAGTTTATCTGGGTCTCAGAACCCAAAGTAGGGATCCTGTCCTCATGCCTTCATGAGTTGTCAGAGCCTTCATTTCAGACAAGATAATATTCCTTCTTCAGAATTAACATTTCAGGTTATGGTTTGGCAATGAAAAGTTACCCTCTTATCACATCAGGAATCTGGGATGAATTCAGTCTCTGTGTTCAAATTTGTGTTTTTTTATTGAAGGCTTTCTGCTACAGTAGTTATTGCTTTTCTAGCCCATTCTAGCTTCAGGTCCTATGGCAGCACAAAACTAGCATAAAAACAGAGCACTGGCACTAACTCCCTGCCATATGCTCCAATCAACTTGACAAAGGTGTCACTGTGTGGCCCACCACTTTCTCAGTGAAGTTTGTATTACCGTGTGTTCTTTTTCAATAATGGTGAAAATACAGCCTTCCTAAGGAGAACTTACATGTTTGCATCTCTCATGGATGTAAATACATAAGCTTGTCCAAATGAAGTGCCAGCAATTCATTGTCTACCATCAGATTTCTGCTGAGCACCAACCTCTATCACCTGCAACAGGCAAAGGATGTGTCATAGTCTTAAGACATAGCAACGTGATTTCTTTAAACAAAAGTTGTGTGGGTCTATTTTCCCAATTAACAAGGGAGAGGACAAGAGAAAGTGGTCTCAAGCTGCTCCAGGGGAGGTTCAGGTTGGATATGAGGAAAAATTTCCTCACAGAGAGGGTTGTAAAGCACTGGAATGGACTTCCCAAGGAAGTGGTTGATTCTCCATCCCTGGAGGTATTTAGATGTGTAGATGTGGCATTTAGGGACATGGTTTAGTGGTGGACTAGGCAGTGTTAAGTTAGTGGTTGGACTTAGTGATCTTCTTAAAGGTATTTTCCAATCTAAACAATTATGATTCCACACATGGTGCTGAGCTGCTACCATTTTCCTCATCTCACAAATAAAACTGCACTGTGGTTGGAAGCACTGTGGCTTAGCTCATGGGAGTTCCTGCATGTGAAGCCATTCCAAAACTTCCCCCTGTAGTGAGAAACAGTCATGAGGGAAAAAAAAATAAATCTTTATTACTGAAATAAGTAGAGTTGACTATTTAATGAGTCAGGCTGTTTGTCAATTTTTCCACCAGTTTTTCCTGTGAGATGACAAAGAGGGAGAAGAGCGAATATACTGCACTGCACTCTCATTGTGGTTGAAGTTTTGTGATTAAATGCCATTAGCTGCCTCGAATTGTTAAGGCACAGAGCACAAGAGCAGTACAAGAACATGCTTTGATAGCCTTTATCTCTAGAACTCTGCTCAGATTTCTTCCACAGAAATCGGAGAAAGGCTGTGAGAAGGAGGGATACCAAAGTTTCCCAGGTCAGTGGGTCCTGAGCAGGAGAGAACAATTCTGTGGTGGCTGATTAGACAGCCCAGGGAAGAGGCTTGCTCTGGGGACTGTATTCCCATCCCATGGCCCAACAAGTACCTATACAGAAGAATAAAAAAACCTTTCCATAGTTTCAGCTTTTCACATTTTTTAAAAAATAGAAAAATTAAAAGGACCATTAAAAGGACCCATTTCCATTTAAAGAAAAAAACCCACACCCCAGCTCTAACTCCGAGAAGCCCAGAGCCTCTCCCTGCTGGGGCACCTTGCTGGAGTCATTTCCTTGCCCTATTCTGGTGGCCCCTTGCATCCTGCTGGTTTCAGGATGGCAGCTCTCTCAGGGAGACATTCTCTCTCTACCTTTAGCAGCTATGATTTTCACCAAGGCCACTTTACACAACCCAAAAACAAGCCAGATGAGGGTTCTTGTTGCTCGTTTTGCTCCTCTGTTCCTCTCTGTTATTCCTCACTACCTGGGCTCCCTCACTTCTCATAAATGTCCTCTTTAAAAGTTTAACAAACTACAGTGTGAAGGCTGGTGATGTATAGCATATTTGAAGAAAAGATTTGCCTCTGTTCAGAAACCTTCCTGACCTCGTGACCGAAGAAGAACAAAATAACGTATTAACAAAAACACAGTTCACTGCCAAAGAAAAGGAGTTCCTGTAAGAACTGAAACAATAAATCTCCTCTGCACTGAACTCCCAGAGGGAGTATGTTGTGTTTCCTCCTGTTCTTTATCAAAGTCCCCAAAATAAGCAGGAATGGGCAGTGACTAGGCACGGTCTCTACACACCTTTTTCCATGGAGTAATTAAGGCCTGCCCCAGAGTGAGAGAGCACTCCCTGCCCAGCTGTGTAAGGGAGAGCTGACAGCATTACCACCACTACCACCACTACCACTAAGCATGAAGCTCCTGGGGATTGCCTTCTTCTTCTTAGCTGTACTCTGTGTTTGCACTGTGGGAGGTAAGTTCTTTGGCTTTCTTGGATAGACATCTGTGGGGTGCTTTGTGAGCAAAAGCTTAGCTGTCAGTAGCTGGATGCTTTTTTTTCCCACCACAGTGATTGAAATACTGTGAGTTGGAGGAGAAGAAGGTACTAACTGGTAGCTGAGTTGTATGTGTTCTATCCAAAAACTTTCCTGCTGCTGTATTTTTGTGACAGCTTTCTTTTTAGGTATCATGAAGCTCCTAAATCTAAGAGGAGCTAAAAGCAGAGATATATTTACAAAAGTTTTCAGTTGTGTTTTTCTTCTAAGAAGTAAAGCATCTTTTGTAGAGATGGCTTTGGGGGGGTTGGTGTGAAATTGGAATGTCTGAAAGATCTTGCAAATACTGCTCTTACAAATCAGATATATCTTGATGCATTTCCCTGGCACTATGCCAGCAATAAGTTTGGCCAAGAGTATCTCTCAGTGATTATTTTAGTTTTGCCCCCAAAGATATAGGGGCTTACAACATTTATCAAGTGTCAAACAGTGAGGGATGGAAGCCTAGGGGTTATATTAGTTACTAGGTGCAGTAATCTTTAAACATGATTCTCAAATGCACAGATTTAATCAAATTTTTTGATGTTCACGTGGTCGCTAATCTGATGTTTTCATTATTCTTCCCCTTGAAAGATCATGCTTTTAAAGTGAAATTTACTAGTAGCCCTGAAAAGATGAGAGAAACTGCAACAAAGGCCAGAATCTATCATCACCTTTGTCAAAAGATACATTTGAAGTAAAATCTGCCTTTTGTCTGTACTTTCCTTTGCTGGCCCTCTGGGCCAAAGCTTCCACAAATGCCTACAGATTGTCTTCAAGGGATCTATGAATCAGAACTTTAAAAATAGGTAATAAATAGACATCTATCTATTAGATAGGTATCTAATAGAAAATAGATAATAGATTAACTGACCTATACAAAGTTAATCAGTTTTTGCTCAGATTATGTGTTAAAATCTAGTCTTTTGTCATGTATCTTATGCTGTTGCTTGGGCTCATTGCTGTTAGGAAAGCAAATCAATAAAAGAGATTAAAATAAGCTTGTGTCATAGAAAGAGCTGTTTTTAAAACTATGTTAAGTAGGTACAAGCCCTGAAAGTCTATGTTGAAGTACTATTTATTCTCTGTCTGCTACTCCTAGTAAAAATAGCCTTCCTGTCATTGTTGAAGCTTTAATTTCACAATTTCTGAAAAGCGAAGTGGAGTTGCATCAAAAGAGCATATTTAACACAACAGTCCATAAAGCTTACCAGAAAGCAACATGCAAAGGTGGGAGGAATTCTGTCAGTTTTATACAATCCTTTCTTTAAAAAGGATTTTCCCTCCTCTGCATGATATGAATGTGGCAGAACTGATGACAGTGAATAAGCAAATTTTATATATTATACACTCGTTCTGAACAATTTTGTTTCTGTAAAGTATTTTTTAAATGCTTTATTACAAGGTAGATATGGTAGTGAAATTCTGTTGGTAAATTCACAATAGAAAATTAAGAACATTTGTGGAAAAATTTGGAATATGTCTCTATCTACCTTGGGAAAGTAAAGGTGCATAATCTGGTCAAGCTTCCTTCAGGCTACCCCATGCATCAACCTGTTAAGACAGAAGTGATTTTATTGTCTGTAGTATGAGGCTGGACCAAGTCTTTGGATTTCCACTTTTTGTGATCCCCAAAGTGTCCTGGGCTGTAATGGCAGGATCTTATAAACTGAAGAGGTGAACTGATGGTAAGGAGGCTAACACCAATCTCCCTTGTGCTCAGTCTCCCTTTTTTGAACACTGGAGACAGTAGCAAGACTTTTCTCCAGTTGCTTAGAAACACCTTTAGTGTCTTAAAATTATGCTCAGTAAAATTTAGAGAAGGTCAAATCACACCCTGGTGTTTTAATATTCACTCCTCCAGGTTTTGGGGTATTTTGCCTTCAAAGCTTACAAAGACAAGTACTCTTTTTTCATGTAATACACACAAGTTGCCTGTCTTTGTATCTTTTGTGTATCATACACAAGTGGACAAGGATGTTTCCACTGTGGTTAGTAAAGAACGCACCAAGTCTCCTGTGGGGCTTTCAAATTTCATGCTTTGTCTTCAGCCTGTGTGCTGGCAGGGCCTTTCTTTGCAATTTTCTAATTTGTCTTGGGATCTTGCATCCTCAAAAGCCCCTAATGCTTTGGTGAGATCGTGTCAGCACATTACTAGGGGCTCGGTTATGTTCAAATGTGGAGGTTGGTAGCCTCTTGACGACTTATCCCTCCTCTCAAGGCTTTTCTCAACCCTTTGCAAGTTGAATGGCATGCTTAAAACAGGAGTTCCTTCGTGCTCATCTCAAGGTGTTCAGTCCTCCTGCATATTGCTCTTTATTCTTATCTGTTCCAGAACAACTCAAATAGAAATGCTTTCTGCATTGATTCATAGCATTTCCAGCTTTAAACAGACTGCACTGGAATGTGTCAAAAAATACATTGTCAAATCACAGTAATCAAACATAAATGCTCAAGTCTGCATTGAGATGTAATTACTCTTGAAGTGTGTAAAGGTGCAGTTTGTTCTTCTAAAAGATGAGGGCAGAGGACTTGGCATGTGCTTATAATGTAAGTGTGCTTAGAGGTAACATCTTCCCATGCCTTGGTCTTGTAATATAGCATGACTGTGGCAACACAGCACAGCAGATACCCTCCACAAAGTGCTTGTAGCACATCACAGCATCCTTCTCACTCAGGCACCCAGACTGGTTTCTTGCAGAACTGATAGCAGAAAAGAGTGGGTTGTGCTCCCCTTATCATCAGTCTGGATGCCTTCAGGTTATGTACTCAAATGTAGGAGCTGGAATGGACTGTCTCGTGTTGAAGACATGCAGTAGGTGGGTTTATTAGTGTCTGATTAGTGACCCCTGTTGACAGCTAGCAGTAACTTTATCCAACTGCTCTGTCAAAATTGATGGCACTACAGAAAAACAGGGATGTTTTTCATTTTGGAAAGGTATGAGCAAGTCTTGGCATTGAGACCCTGGTCCAAATGCCCCTGGAAGTAATTTGGACCTATTCCATTACACTGTGGATCAGCCCTAAGTTATATGTTTTCCAGTCCCCTTCCCCATTAAGGGGATGCTGTGGAGCATCCTAACCCTACAATGCAGCTGATTAATCCTGACTCCCAGGCTGACAGCTTGAGAAAAGTTCCACTAAACCAGGGCTCCTGTAGTGCAGCTGCCTGAACTCTGCTCTTATTGGTGTAAACTAGAGGAGATGGATAGTCTTTTCCTTTCCCATCTTCTGTGCTCACAAGCCTTCAAGTTAATTTTAAAAATTAAATACTAGCTAAACTATTTTGAGCAGTTAGAGGTTTTGAGCATAGTCTTCCCTCAGTCTGGGTTATTATTGATGTCGGTTCTCTGGAAGACCAGCAAGGCACAGACTGTCAGAGCTGAATCATTGTCTCATCTCTGAAAATCTGAGATATGTGAATAGGGTTTGCATAAGGCTTTCTTACACCTTTAATTTGCTTGAGCCCAAACTTTGAATGTCTTGAGAATTTTCCTGTTGTGGGGAAAAAAAAAGGGTGTTGGTGTTTTCACTGTTCCTAGCATTTTGCAAAACTAGCTTTGTCAAAGATCAAATTATACTGCTGGAGAATATCATAACCTTTAATAGAATATTGAATTTTTATCCCTGTACACATTTGTTTTGTTCTTTTTTTGTTTCCCCTGCTCCCACATTCCTTTCATTCATTAGATCTTTTGCATATGGGGCCAATTTTTGCCTAATGGATTTTAGAGGTGTATTTATTACTGGACAGAACAAAATTGCTTGTTCTAGCCCCTAACCTGAAGACAAGTTTAATGCATTTACTGAGGATAGAAGCAGATGGCTTGATACCTGCTTGATTGTGATTTACAGCCAAAATAAATGGAAACCAAAAATGAAGGGCAAGTTGCCTGCAGCATTCAGCTCCAAATCTGAGAATACATAATGCCATGCCCAACAAATCATTGTCTCCTCTGAAAATTTACCAGAATGTTTTCTTTTTTATTTAGCTGTGTCTTTTTATCTGTATTTAAATCTAGATTTCTTATTAATATTTATTCCATTACAATTTATGTAAAAAAAGATTGTCTGAGGCTTGGTTTTGTTTGGTTTTGTGGGGTGTTTTTTCTAAATAGGTAAAGTACTTTGAATTGGGCTCAAATTATTTATACATCTGAGTCCTACGTAAAAAAACTGAAAAAGTACAAGTTAAAAGGAATCTCCAAGAAACTCTTAACCTAGGGAAGGGGACACTTTGAACTGGTACTATTCTGATAGTCAGACTAACTTAGAAGTCTAAAGACCGTAAAATTGCATGGAAGGCTATCCTTATTACTTGTGGCCCTCGTGAAGTGGGGGCAGAGGGGGTGTTTTTTGTTTGTGTTTTTTTGCCACAATAACTCAAGAAAGACCCTTTAATGTTTTGAGGTTTTTTTTTCAAAAAACAGAAAGACTATGCTGGATTTGTGTGTAGTAGCTATTATTTCCAAATACAAGGCAAGAATTACAGACTTGGCTCCCTGGGAAGACAAACATCTACTTTTGTGTTCAGCTAGTCCTCTAAAAATAGGTTTCCCAGATGTAAATGGAAGGGTCAAACCCCTGACTTGCACTGTGGCCTTACCTTGGAAGTCACCATCACTGTTCCAGCAGCTGACATACAGGCAGTGATGCACTGGCATTCCTCTTGTGAAAACTGGCCCTGGGATGCCATAACAGCAGCATGCTGTACCAGCCAGACCTACCTGCACTAAGAAAAGTGGTTTGGCACAATTTGATATGATGCTGTCTCTACTCTGTGCCTTCTGAGCCTACCTCCCCATGTGAGAAAACTGTGCTGATTATCACTTGGTGATAATTATTTTGGAACAAAATTCAGCAACCGTGATCTGCTGGGGTATTGCAGAAGGAGGGTAGGAAGCCCTCTGCTGCCATCCTTGCACGTCCTAGAGGCTGG